GATTTGTCTTTAATTGTTTGATTGAGATTGTTATTTATTGTTTAAAATTGATACATTATCACAAATCAATATCTTGGGAATTTTCAGATTTTTCATGCATTGTCTCAATCACATTATATTGAGAAAATACTTTGTAAATACATCAAGGATTATGTAAATGTGACAAGAACACCTGTAGATGTCAATCTTTATTTGTCAAAAAAGAAAGGTGATGGGATGTCTCAATTAAAATATTCTTAGATCATTGGAAGCCTAATGTATCTAATGAACTGCATACGTCCTATTATAGCATATGTTGTTAGTAAGTTAAGCAGATACACTAGTAACCCCGAAGAAGATCATTGGGAAGCAATGATTCGAGTTTTTAGGTATCTAAGATTTACCCGTGATCATGGTTTGAATTTTACTCAATATCCAGCAGTACTCGAACGTTATTGTGATGCCAATTGGATATTGGATACTAAAGATTCAAAATCAACTAGTTGTTATGTCTTTACTCTAAGGGGGTGTAGTTGTTTCTTGAAAATCCTTGAAACAAATATGCATTGCACGGTCTACAATAAAATGTGAGTTCATTGCTTTAGATAAAGCAAGAGAAGAAACAGAATGACTTTGCCATTTATTAGAAGACATGCCAATGTGTCCCAAACATGTGCCAACTATTTGCATTCATCGTGATAGTCAATCTGCAATAGGAATAGCACAGAGTCATATGTATAACGGTAAGTCATAGCATATTCGTTGTCGACATAATACCGTAAGACAATTGCTCTCAAATGGTATAATCTCAACAGATTATATAAAGTCTAAAGAGAATATCGCGGATCTGTTAACAAAAGGTTTAACAAAAGAGCAAGTGCATAATTCATTGAAGGGAATTGGAATAAAGCCTATTACACAAAAGTCATCATAATGGTAACCCTACTTAGATGACTAGAGATCCCAAGAACTAAGTTCAAAGGGACAACTAAGTTATGTGTGGCTCGCTAAAAATCACCAAGGGAGTAAATTCCCTATCCATTCCTACAATGAGTGTGATAGCTGCAACATGTAGGAGTTTAAGGGTAAGCTTTGCTTTTAATGATTACTTATATGTTGATTTAGGAATAAAAATCAAGATGAGTATAAGGAATACTTATAATAAGAATCAGCTATATGAGTGTCGAATTGGGGCCGGTTCTATGAGAATGAAGAGGCTAAACTTTCTAGAGCACTCATGAATAACAAGTAACGTTTAAGGCCAATATGAACACAACCGTAAGAACCACAATGTGTCAGAAGATATTTTGTGTAAAATCTATTGTCTTGGCTTACACAAACAGATGAACAATTCAAGGCATAGCGTCCATTGGTTAGCTACTAAGTCCGATAGGTTATCACTAGGCAAGGTTCAAAGTCGAAAACTACTTATCCTGATGCAAGTTATTTTTGATTTATACTCTCTCGACAAATTCTGCATGCTATTGCATTTTTGTTGACATCAAATTCCATTCATATGGGGGATTGTTGGAAATGGTTTTAGAAAAAATAGATTTTTTAAACTTCGATCTATTTTTAAAGTGGAACCCATACGCCAAAGTTGGCGGGTCTATGTGTCAATGCGTTCTTTGCCACGTGACGATTCACATCGTATATTTGGTTGCTCAAAATCATTATCGGGTGAATGGAAAATCAATGCCAAAGTAAGTTCCATGGAAAGGTGTTTTGGTGAGGTTTCCATAAAGGATGAAGAAAAGGCTTGTCCCACATTGCTTGGGTGGGCAAACATGGTATGAGTTTATAAACCTTGAGTTTGCATCTTAAGGAGGGCCCCAAGGGGCAAGCAAATTTTGTGGAGGGGGAGGTTATGGGTAAAGTGGGCCTTGACTTATTGGACCCAAAAACCAACACACATGTGCCACTGCCCGGACCAGACCAGGCTTGGGCGCAGGTGCAAGGTGTGAGGTTGGGTTGGGCTTGTGTGGTACAGCCCAGTGCTTATCTTTTTGGGCCAAAAATATTTGAATTTTATTTTTTCTAAATTAAATTCTTACCATTTGGAATTTGAATTTTTGTTTGAAATTCAAAATAAATTCCAAAATGACCCCAACGTTTCTGAACATTGGCAGTTTGGTCCAAGGCACCTTTCTAGCATTTCCCTCCAACCTGAACGTGTTCCATGCCTGCTCATTTCTGCCCCGAACAGCCACCAATTCTTCTATAAATAGGCAATCCTCCATTTGTTCATTCATTCAATTTTCATCCTTCTTTTTTACTGTATATTTTTTGCATTTCTGTTGTAAGAGAGAGTGTATACACTGAGTGTGTTCGTTGAACAATTATCATTTTATCACTGCTGGAAATGAGGGTTTTAGCGGCGTTTAAAAAACGCCGCTATAGGTCCCAAAAACGCCATCTAAACCTTTTGTGACGTTTTGCACCAAGCGCCGAAGATGCGGCCGTCGCTATAACTTTGTGACGCTTTAGAAACGTCGCTATATTACTATAAAACGCCGCTAAAAGTTCTACTATGACATCACCAAACTATTTAGCAACGTTTTTAAAACGCCGTCGTATCGCTTTTTAAAAAATCTCACCGTTGATATAAGATTTAGTGACATTTTTAGAACGCCATGATTGCCTCCATTTTTTGAAAAAAAAATTCTGCTAATTTTATGTGATTGAACTAAAAAAACTAAAAAATAACACTAACATGAAATAATAACTCTCATTCAAATATCAAATACAACATTAGTTCATTTTCTCATTCAATTTAATATCCAATCACCATTAATCACAAAATAACATATTCACAAATCATGTTTTAACAAATACATTAACAGAGAAAGAAGTGTTTAACTCAAATTGATTCAAATTGATGAGAGAGTTCATTGTTAGTCTTCATTGGTCTATATACCTGCATCAGAACATAAATTACAATCAGATTCACCAAAATAAACATAAATTGAAGAATTTGTAAACTTAATTTTCTTAATCACTTGATTGCATTTATTTATTTTTAATTGTTTAATTTTTTTGGTAGAGGTGGTTAGAGTTTTGCTCCTGACACAAATCTATGATTTAAGTTACAACTTTACTCCTTCAATAGTATTTAAACAAAAACTAGGGCTAAAATTTTTGTTTTCGTCCAGAATTGAAAAGAAGCTTTAAAAACAATTTAGATTTTAACAGAAGGCTTTGTTTAAGGGATTTATTACATTTCTTTATTTATTATTTTTCCAAAAAAGACTAAAGCCCATCAATAACATGGCAACCTTCCATGTTCAATATAGAGAGCTTGTGCAAACCTGCAATGCACACAGAATAAGAGAGACTATTTTTACAAAGAATTGCTTCACTTGTTTGCTTTTCTTGTTGATAAATGAAAAGTGCTTTAATACACTATTGTAGAGAAAAACTACATTTTAGGAGAGTTTTTATTTTTTGATAGATATTGTAGGAGTTACATTTTAGGGAATGGATTTAGTTTTGGGGTTCTTGTGTCTAATTAATTTTTTTTTTTCTTTTGCTGTACATCATATATTTGCTGATCATTCATGTTGATAATGCAATGATTCATGTTGATAATGCAATGATTGCTGGTGTGCATCATATATTTGTTATAGAAGAAACCTTCCTGAATGTAGCAAGGCCACACACCATTTCAAGCATTAGCATACACTAAATGAGTATGTGTGTGATGAGAACCATCAATTTGATCCATTAATGTATATTAACTACAGTGACATGATCTGAGAATTGACCAAAAATATGTAAAGAAGTATTTCTTACCTGGGCAGATGAATGACTCATATTACCCAACAGATTCAATTACCTGGATGCACAACCCAAGCAATGGAGAAATCTCTTTCTTAAGGTTATCTCGAATCATTCCATAAATCTTTTCTACAAATGCTGTACGTTGTTGCTTGAAAAGCAAAGCTGGGTATTTGGCTTCAACTTGGTGTAAAGCTTCTGCTCCACCAGTCAGGCCACCATTTACAAAGGAAAGATTAACTCCTTGCGGAGTTCCTCGGAAACTCTGTAAATAAAAATAATAGCAAACACCTGAACTAACGAAAGGACTAAAACTTCGTTTGATGACAGAACATGGAAATTCAAATGGGAACTTTAAATTACCTGTGTCATCCTTCCAAACAGAGTAGCCGAGGATGATGTTGGCTTGACACTGACCAAAAAAGAGTTCGCATGTCTGGAGCTTCTCAAGCAAAAATTACACTAACACACCAGTTAGATATCGATATACACATGGAAAATGAAAGAAAGATTAATAGCCTCACATCACAACTACCATTCTAACCCAAACTTCTTGTGAGCTTCCAAGTTCTTGTATTTCTTCTTAATGTTGCTTGGAAATCAAACAGTGAATACATTAACAAAGATTGTCAATTTTCCATCTCCAAAAATACCCAAATTTAGTCACTACTCACAACAGTAACAACCAAAACCCTAATTTCAGAACCAACAATGCCTTACAAATCAAATGAACATAAACCACGAACTAGTGATATTAGTACTTTTACCTTGTTAGTTCTTCTTCTTCTTCTTATTCTTCTTCTCTTTCTTTGAAAGGTGAACCTATATTTAATAAGAGCAAGTATTGTAATTAATAAGATATGTTATTTGTCAAAAAAGAT